TTCCTGTAGTCCTCCTTACACTTCTTAGTCTGTTTTTTCAGTTGTTTTTGTGTGATCTTCAATAACTCCCTGTAAATGTATGTTTGTGTTGCAGCTGTGATTTGAGCAATGCCAGTGTTAAAGTGATGGAGATCATGGATCAGGATTTGGTCGCTGAGGATGCTGGGAAACTTACAGAGGCTGACAAAGCTCACACAGGCAGAGTGAGTCCTGTCCATCAGTATTAGTAAAGTTTGCATTAATATCGGAACCTGTGACTGAGGCATCGGTGCTAAATATCTTTGAACGACACATTTGGTCAAGTAGCAACACCTTTATGAGTCAGATAGATGAAGAGATAGTTGACCATGTTAATGATCAATAATCGATCAGTCTTTGAATGAATAAAATACTGTGGATGTTCCTCCATGTGCTAATAAACCTGCTTGAAAACCAACGACTTATTGTAAAATCAGGCTCTTTACATCAGGAAGCTTCTCCTGTAAAAGCATCTGTAACTTTCTCATTAATTCATTTTCTGGCATGAAAATCTTCTGCCTTATCGGTTAATATGTTTCTGAATTAATTAAATTACCAACGGCAATGAGTCATCACCGCCTCTAATGTGGATTTAAAGTTAAAACACAGAGGAGCAGGTACACTCATAAAGCAGATGAGCTTTTTTTAAGTTTCTCCCTGTAATTAGCAGAACATCAGCAGTGATTGGTTTTAACACAGCTGTTCTCCTGTTGCCAGGTCAAGCTACAGATGTACAGAGAGTACTTCAGGACAATTGGCCTGACCTTCATCATGACCATCATCTTCCTCTGTGCCTTCCAGCAGGCTGCCTCGCTGGCCTACAACTATTGGCTGAGCCTGTGGGCCGACGAGCCACCGGTCAACGGCACACAGAGCGACCACGAGCTGAAACTGAGCGTGTTCGCAGCGCTCGGCTTCACACAGGGTGGGTCATTAAACAGCCAGAGCAACCACGAAACTGTCCCTCTGCTCTCCACACACACTGATATGTGTCTGCCAAAGCAGCCAGAGAACTTCTCTTCACAGAAAACAGTTGTTCTGATGACTGAACGTGGTGCTGCACTCAGACCACCGGGTTGGAAAGCCTGAGGTCACCAGTTGCTTTTAAAGTTTCCTGGTTCCTTGAAGTTCTCTGTACTCTTGGTTTTGGTTTACAAGTTGAAGATGTCATTAGTTGTTTGTTCTTTTAAATAGTCAAGAAAACAAGTGACACATGAGACTCCACTGCTGATGAGTAAACGATATGAAGCCTAGATTCCTGTATGAAGTCACAACTGTCTGAATTCCTTTCCTCTGTTTCAGGGTTGGCCATGTTTGGTACGACCCTCGCCATTGCGCTGGGTGGGATCGTAGCATCGCGTCACCTTCATGCCGATCTTCTGCACAGCGTCCTGCACTCGCCCATGTCCTTCTTCGAAGTGACGCCCAGCGGAAACCTCCTGAACCGCTTCTCTAAAGAGATTGATGCAATTGACTGCATGATTCCCGAAGGGCTGAAGATGATGCTGGGCTATTTGTTCAAGTTGCTTGAGGTCTGCATCATTGTGTTGTTGGCCACACCTTTCACAGGGCTGGTGCTCCTCCCTCTCACCTGCGTCTACATCTTCATACAGGTAAAGGTTCCTCCTGAACATTGTGTTCTCTAAGGTTCAGCTGAACTCTCTAAAAGTGTACCTTTCTTTTTTTGGTCTCCAGAGTTTCTATGTTGCGTCGTCATGTCAGCTGCGACGTCTGGAGGCGGTGAGCCGCTCGCCCATCTACAGTCACTTCAATGAGACAGTGCAGGGCGCCGGCATCATCCGAGCCTTCGGCGAACAGCGACGTTTCATCCTGCAGGCTGACCGTCGCATTGACAACAACCAGGAAGCTTATTTCCCTCGCTTTGTTGCCACCAGGTTTATTCCACCTTCTTTACTAAAGCTGATCTATTTGTTCAGCTGTTAGAGAGTCATGGTGTCTGGCAGTAATGTCAGAAGATGTTGTGCAGTAACTGTAAGATTTTCTTAATTATATTTCAGGTGGTTTCACCTGAAAAACATCCCAAGATGACACTCCCTCTGTTGACCATATTATGATCATGTTTTTATGCAGGTTTCAGTGATACTAAACGTTTCCCTTCTTCCTCTCTTTATTGTTGTTGCATCAGATGGCTGGCAGTAAATCTGGAGTTTTTGGGGAATCTGCTGGTTTTGGCTGCAGCCATCTTGTCAGTGCGAGGTCGGGATGAACTCAGCCCCGGCATGGTGGGACTGGCAGTGACACACTCTCTCCAGGTTACAATGAGTTTGTGTTTCAGTTAAATGTTTCTACATTTAACCAAGAACCCATAATCTGGTCTGAGGGAGTTTGTGGAGGAGTTTCCATTTATTAACTTGAAGGACGCAAACCCAAGCCTCTGGGTCTGGATGGCTTTACAGAAGGAGATCCAGATCTGTACCAAATACTGAACAGGTTCTTCCCACCAAGTTTCAGCTCGACCCAATTTTGTGAAAATTAGCTTGACAGACAGACAGACAGACAGACAGACAGACAGACAGACAGACAGACGTTACCTCAGGACGGCTGCTAAATCAAAGAAGAAGTGAAATCCATGGAGGGCTACAAGAGCTCCAGCATTCTGTACCAACTCCAAAGTGAAGCCTGGTCCTCTGAACCGATGGGCTCAGTGTGTCTGCCAACAGTTCAATACGTGCATCAATACAACAGATCGGCAAAGCTCAGAACGACGGTAACTCGTGAAATGCTGTGTGACGCCACTATCAGCTGATTCCACCCTGACCCCGCCCACATTAAACCACCAGACTAATCAATAAATCACAGCCACAGCTGAACTTGAACACAGTGCAGAAACAGCTGTAGCCTGATTGGAGCATGGGACTGGGCAGCGATCCAATCGGACTGGAGGATAGGCGCTGAGAGATCTACTGGCCACCAACAATCCAGAAATCATTCCAGCTGTTAAACTCTCCACGTGATGAACTCACAAAAGAAAGAGAGCTTCAGATGAATGATTGTGGCGTTTGTGATTTCAGGTGACAGGAATCCTGAGCTGGATTGTTCGCTCCTGGACTGACGTGGAGAACAACATCGTATCAGTGGAGAGAGTCAAAGAATATGAGAACACAGCCAAAGAGGTGGGTCCCTGTTTCCATGGAAACTCTAGCCTGAAGCTGATGTCTGGAGAAGCGTGTCTGTTGAGCTAAAAGTCAGGAGACGTGTCCATCTTTGTTCTGCCGCTGCTTTGTGTCTTCATGATGGTGATGTTCTCACCGACCTTAATCATGGAGTTTGGTAGTTGATCACTGAGCCCTCCTGACCTGAAATGTGTCTTCAGGCTGCATGGACCCTGCAGGGCTGCTCACTGCCAGCAGCCTGGCCGAGCGCAGGGACCATCCAGTTTGAAGACTATGGACTGCAGTACCGTAAAGGTCTGGACTGGGCTTTAAGGGACATCTCCCTCAACATCCAGGACAGAGAAAAGGTTGGTTCTCATTCGGGTAAGAAAAACTTGATTTTTCACCACAGGAAAATATGTCATGAGAAACAGTAAGAATTTGTCCATAGAGGTAAAACAGACATCGAAGGTACAGAGCAGAAGTGGGCACTGCGGTCACTGATGTCTGGGAATGTCCTGAATCGTCAGGTGGGGATTGTCGGAAGAACGGGTGCCGGAAAGTCGTCTCTCGCTTTGGGAATCTTCAGGATTCTGGAGGCAGTGAGCGGACGGATCTTAATTGATGGGATGGACATCGCTCAGATCGGCCTTCATGATCTCCGATCCCGAATCACCATCATTCCTCAGGTCAGTAATGTAAATAGTGCAGTACAAGCACTTCCTGTGTGCAGTCACAGTAACGGTTCATAAATATGTGAATTAGATGCGAATGGATGAACATGATGCTGTCGGTGGAGCACAGCTTTGGTTTTATGTGAATAACCTTCTGACAGTGTTCACACTAAAGTCTCCTTAACGCTAAAATGCAGAACAGTTCAGACACAACTTCATGGGCAGGTGAGTCCTGTGGCCAGATGTCCAGCTGAATAGTGACTGCTGCTCATGTTACAATGAGGCTGACCCTGACCTGTAACCTCCAGGACCCAGTGCTGTTTTCTGGCTCTGTGAGGATGAATTTGGACCCCTTTGAAACTTGTTCGGATGAAGATCTGTGGAAAGCTCTGGAGCTGGCTCACCTCAGCAGCTTTGTGTCAGCGCTGCCACATAAGCTGAACCATCAGTGCAGTGAAGGAGGAGAGAACCTCAGGTACAGTCACCTCCAACACACCTGGACTTGGTTCAGCCAACACCAGGGTAAATGTAGAACACCTGAACAAGCACACCTGGGTGTGTGGTGCTGGTAGGAGCTGAAGCAGCCTGCAGTGGCTGCAGAAGTCTTTCCAAGTCCACACCAACAATGTTTTTGCTTTTCACACTTAAGCCCTGCAATGCTAACTCAGGTTACATCTCTGAGGACATTTATCTGTTCAGCTGGAAAGTTGTTTCTCGCCTTGATTATCTTCAGGATTCTGGAGGCAGCAAAGGAGTGAATCTTATCTGGCGGGATCAACATCACTCAGACTGCAATGCTTTTGCGACAGTTTATCAGACTCCTTTAGCTAGCCTTATAGCTAACGCTAACTCCAACTGCTAATAATTATGATGTGCAATTCATCCTCACAGCAGATATGATTCACTGATGATGTGCTGTAAATACAGGGTGACAGGCTGGTGCAGTCAGCGGCAGATAGAAGGTCCTGGGTTCTCTGGGTCACTGGGGCCTTTTTGGAGTTTGCATGTTCTCTCTGCGTGGGTTCTGACTGAGCGCTCCGGCTTCCTCCCACAGTCAAAAGACATGCAGTTCTAACTGACTATTTTGAAATTGGGTTGTTTTTGCAAGCTGCGTGTTGGTCGGTCTGCATGTGCTGGTCCTGTAATGTACAACCCTAACCTGTCAGGTGAACCCTGGCTTAACCCTCCATCAGCTGGGAGACCCTCCAGCTGCTTCGCAGGATGACGTGGTGTTTAGGGGATGGACGGATGAAATGATACTGTAAGCACAGACAGCTGTTCTCTCTGCAGTGCTAAAGCTTTATTTATTTTAAAGAAACTACAGACAGAGTAAGTGATGACTGCTTCAGGGTGTTCATACATTGATGTGGGTGGAAACGTTTTCAGCTCACAGTATACAGCACCACACGATGAGTTCAGACAGTGGACACACTGAATCATGGGAACAGGTGAGCAGATAAGCTGTTGATGCTAAAAAACACTGTGGAGAAAATGTTTCAGGAGTTACTTCAAATCACAAGTCAGAGTTTGGATGGAGGCCAGACATGACGGAGCTCTGATGTCTTTGTAGTCTCGGTCAGCGGCAGCTGTTGTGTTTGGCCAGAGCTCTGCTGAGGAAGACCAGGATCCTGGTTCTTGATGAAGCCACAGCAGCTGTGGACCTGAGAACAGACCAGCTGATCCAGTCCACCATTCGTACTCAGTTTAGTGACTGTACGGTCCTCACCATCGCTCACCGCCTCAACACCATCATGGACTACACCAGGTACCGTCAGACCGCTCAGCTTTACTGTCAGCTCCAGTCAGGGTTTCCGCTGATCAAACGTAGGACGTTTTCTCCAGCTTTCAGATGTGCAAATGGATGTTCACCTTTCAGTTTTTCATGAACTGAGGATTGAAATCTTGTGTAAAGAATTATATGAATAATGGAGTCTAACAATGACTTGTGCATGTGTCAGAGTCGAACACTGTGCAGAACCATGAGGAACAATGTGATGTCTGAAGTTATCAGCTGCTTCTAGAACAGTGATTAAACGTCATCATTTTAGCTATCAGTGCTCACACAGCAGCTCTCTGTAGGAATGCAGAAGTATGTGATCACTTGTGACCTGCGTTTTCTTCCAGGCTTGACTCGACACAGTTTAAAGTGTAAAATCCTTCTTGTACTGAGCTGCAGAGAAGGAACGCTACAATATTAGCTTAGACTTACCTTTCTGAGTTGTCTTCTTACTGAAACTTTTATCAGTTTTCTGATTTTCTTGCTCGTGTATCGTCAGTCGTCGTGATTAGTATAGATTCATTGTCTTGTTGTCTTGTTGTCTTCAGGGTGATTGTGATGGACCAAGGCTCTATTGTGGAGATGGACTCCCCTCGTCAGCTCCTCCACCTGCAGGGACATTTCTACCAAATGTGTCTCGAGGCTGGTTTGGTCTAACATGCAGATTTAAAAACAAACCCTCGAGAGTGGACTGATGTAAAAATCATGTTTGGCTAATAATCTTTCATCGTCTTGTGTCCTTCGTTAGACATTATTATATAATCAATGCATGTTTGTGAAAAAAATCATTTTGTCTGGAGGACTGTGAAAGAAAACTTCCCAGTAGGTGTGACCAGGATCTCTCTTCAGTGATCAAATGTCTGAACCAGAGTTGTTATCTGAAAGTGGAGGTTCATAGTATTAAAACGTACGTGTTGGGATTTGTGTGGAGTTCCTCATATTCAGTCTGACCAGGATTAGTTAAGGAGTCATGTCTGCTTTATTTACTGGAAATACAGAAATATACTTAGTTAGAATAACCATGAACTTACAAGGGCTGCAGGTATCTCAGTGGTTAGCACCGTGGCCTCACAGCCAGAAGGTCGCCGGTTGGCGTCCCGGTGAGGACACCCGGGATCTTCCTGCGTGGAGTCTCCATGTTCTCCCCGTGCAGCGTGGGTTCTCTCCGGGTTCTCCGGCTTCCTCCCACAGTCCAGAAACATGCTGAGGTTAATTGGTGATTGTAAATTGTCCGTAGGTGTGAATGTGAGTGTGCTTGGTTGTCTGTCTCTAAGTGTAGCCCTGTGATAGACTGGTTACCTGTCCAGGTGAACCTGCCTTCACCCTGAGTCAGCTGGGATAGGCTCCAGAAAATGGATGGCTGATACAGTCCTGTGATTTATGTGCACTGTAGATGTATGTGTATGTGTCTGCATGTCCAGAGCATTTCATTTTAAGACAGCGCCACCTACTGCAGTGGATGATCATTAAAGTGCACAACTTCAGGTTTCAAAGGGTGATTCCACACAAAGTCCTACTTTTAGGGTTTAAAGATGTAACATTAAAACTTTTTCCAAGTGTCCACAGGTGTTAAACACAAACACAGGCTGCACATATTACAGATCTCATTTAACACCTGTGTCCTGTCTGCTCAGTGGAAAAAACAGCCTGAGAGCCCCTGAAGTTTTGTCACAGCTGAGTCACAGATGGCTTCACACGGCACCAAAGAGCACAGATTATTGTTTATTTTTACAAAGTCTGCTTTGTGCAAATGGATTATTTTTGACAAGTTTTAAATTAGCTATGCACAAACAATTTTGATGAAATATGATTTTACGCTCAGATTTGATGAGTTTTTCATCAGAACTGCAGGTCACAGATGAGCAGTTTAAGGACCGTCAGAAAGTTGCAAGTCTGATAATTCTGTTTTTACAGTTTCTGGCTGATTGATGGAGTCAGTCTGGAACGCTGAGAGACCAAACATTACCTAGAGAGAAGTAATGTCTTCTCATATCAGATTTAGCCATCCATCCATCCATCCATCCAGCCAGCCAGCCAGCCAGCTCGCTCTCAACGTTTCCAGAGTCGCTGCAGGAGCAGGATGCTCAACATAGTCAGGGACTCATCGCAGCCTTTACCATAAACCGTCTCAACTGCTGCCATCAGGCACATGTATCCGGAGCAAGCAAGAAATGAATGTGCACACTCATCAGCAGCTTCATTCCCAGAGCTGTCACAATGCTGAGCCGCTCATCTGGATATGCAAACACTTGTTTATTTAATTGCTTGTACTTTGTGGATGGTCAACAAACGCTGTCTCATCTTGTTTGTGCGACTGTTGTATGTACAGCTAAATGACAATGAACTTGATCTGAAGCAGCAGCAGCAGGTCACAGAGCTTATTGTCCGAGGTGGTGCTCAAAGGCTGGTGCTCAATCTTCTCTGTGGGGGCGGAGGGGGGAGTGGGCGTGAAGCGCGAGGACGCCTGTTCGATCCCCGGTGATGGCGCTGCTAAACAGCAGCTTATACACGCGCATGGAGGAAATGGAGCCGCTAAAGTAAAATAAAAAAAACACTTGCCTACTGGCTACAGAGTATTTAATACTGTGTGCAGTACTCCTATGTACAGATCCTACATGTACACAGTACTGGACTGTAACACAGTGTACATGGAGACTGCATGCATCTGTTAAAGTACTTCCAGAGGATATTTACTGTCAGGATTAATGTTGTAGTAGTAGTAGTAGTATACATGTA